CAGCTCACAGCAACCTCAAACTCTGGGCTTAAGTGATTCTCTTGCCTCAGCCTCCCAAGTAGCTGGGGCTACAGGTGTGTGCCACAATGCCCAGCTATTTTTCTGTTGTAGTTGTCATAACATGTTGTTTGGCAGGCCCAGATTGGGTACGAACTTGCCAGCCCCATTGCTTGTGTCTCGTACCTTCACTGATGAGCTACAGGCACTGAGCTGTGATTTCCTTCTTAATCTCACCCTTGACACAGCTATTATTTAGCATAAGGTTGTTTAGTTTCCATGGCTTAGTTTGAGTATGACGATTCCTGTTGCTGTTGAGTTCAACTTTTATTTCGTGATGGTCCGAGAAGATACAAGAATTAATTTCTATTCTTTTAAATTTGCTGAGGTTAGAGTTGTGTCCTAACGTATGATCAATTTTGGAAGATGATCTGTGGCCTGATGAGAAGAATGTGTATTCAGTTTTGTTAGGATGAAATGTTCTGAAGATGTCTGTTAAATCCGTTTGTTTTAGGGTCAAGTTTAAGTCCATTATTTCTTTGTTTAGTTTCTTGTTAGAGGATCTGTCCAGAACTACCAAAGGGGGATTAAAATCTCCAACTATAAAAGTTCTAGAAGATATCAAATTATTCATGTCTGTTAGGGTTTGCTTTATAAACTAAGGAGCATTATGGTAGGGCGCATAAATAGTAAATATCGAAATCTCTTCATGTTTAGTGTTTCTCATAACACTTGAGCACACTGTAATAGCATAGGAGGTGGCTATGAAATCATTATAGTAGTACAGTATGTACTACAGTTAATTTTGTGCAGCTGTGATTTAATAATTGCATTTTACATTTGTTTGCATTTTTCTCAACTGCAAATGGTGCCCCATGTGGTCTGTGTTTGTGTGTACATTTTGATACATTTTAAGTTTTTAGAATAGATTTTTGTGGTATGAAAATACAGACTAATAACTACGTATATTTTATGCATTCATCAGGTATGCTTTTCTTAATTTTGTCATTATTTTTAAGCTATATTGTTCATCTGTGAGTTTTTAAATTGTGAATCTCCAAAAAATTTTACAATGTATTTATTGAAGAAAATTCATGTGGGCCTATGCAGTTCAAACTTGTGTTGTTTTAGGGTCACTGGTTAAATATTAACTGTTTCAATATCATTGTATTTTTACTTTTATAACTTTTAGAATTTTTTTTTGAGACAGAGTCTCAAGCTGTCACCCTGAGAGAGTGCTATGGTGTCACTGCTCACAGCAACCTCAGACTCTTGGGTTTAAGCGATCCTCTTCCTCAGTCTCCCAAGTACTGGGACTACAGGTGCCCACCACAAGGCCTGGCTATTTTTTGGTTGTAGTTGCCGTTGTTTGGCCCTGGCTGGATTTGAACCCACCAGCTCTGATGTGCCTTAGCCTCTTGAGCCACAGGCGCTGAGCCAACTGTTAGAATTGTTAATGATACAATTTGCTAAATTCCTAAGTGATTTTTCCCCCCTCTAATTTTTGTTTCCATATTTTCAGGATCTTCTCTTAGAAATTTACAGAAGTATAGGAGAGCCAGATAGTCTGTATGGCTGTGGTGGAGGGAAAATGTTACAACCCCTTACCAGGTAAAGTGCATTGTTTTTTAGGTAATCATGTAGTAATTCTGTTTATGAAGGAGTTAGGTGCATGTAGAAATCAAATGTACTTGTATAATCTTTTTTATAGACTACGAACATATGAACATGAAGCAATGTGGGGGAAGGCTCTAGTAACATATGATGTTGAGACAGCAATCTCCTCATCAACGCGGCAGGCAGGAATAATTCAGGTATGTTCTTTTCCTGCTGTGGTAATGTTTTCACTAGTGCAGTACTGAGATTATTTCAGTTTGTCAGTGAAATATTTACATAGCCAGATGAACTCTAAACATAAGACTGGAAGCTATGTGTCTTTTCAGGTCTTAAGCTAAAAATTCAGAGATACACAGGAAATTTGGACAGTTGACCTAAATGGTGGTGCAGATTTGTTGTTCATAATCCTGTTAGCTAATAGGAGAAGACATTTCCTGAGTGTGTGCAATGTGCCAGGTAGTGTACTTAGTGCTTCACATGAAAAATTTCATGTAAATTATTTCTCATAGTGCTTCACATGAAAAATGTCATGTAATTATTTCTTATATTATAATAAAGTTGGTTCTAGAAAATAAATGATTTCTGTTACAGGCTACTCCTTCAAATGTTGAAATGTTCAAATGTTTCCTTAAAAGACCTTTAAACTTTATGGTTTTGGGGGAAACATACTAAACAATATTTTTGGATTTTAAGCAACTGTGAACTAAAATTTTTTAAAAATATTTTTAAATTTTTAAAAAAAATTTTTAAGTTAATTTGTATGTTTGCTGCTTTTATTTTTTTTCCTTCAGTTTTCTGTTGATATCTTTGATTACTTTTTAAAAATAATTCCTATTTAGGCCTTACAGAATTTGGGACTCTGCCATATTCTTTCCATCTATTTAAAAGGATTAGATTATGAAAATAAAGAGTGGTGTGCTGAACTACAGGAACTGCATTACCAAGCAGCTTGGAGGAGTATGCAGTGGGACCATTGTTTACCTCTGTAAGTCAACATACACTGTTCTTCCATTGTCTGCTATGTTTCAGCTACACGAGCCTTCTCTCTGTGTGCTGCTTTGATCAGACCACACGTTCCTATCTAAAGGGTTTAGAGGTATCTTCTCTTTTTCCCCACTTAACATGTGCATGGCTTCTTGTTATTCAGACTCTAGTTTAATAGTGTCTTATCTTCAGAGAGAACTGTCTTGATGACTCATTATGAAACAACCTCCCAGTCATTCTATAGGGTATCCCAGAAGTCACCCCTGAAGTTGTCATGCATAAGGAAAATGGGGAAATTATAGCTACATGTACCTGTATTTACAAAATAGTCTTTCCACAATTTTACAAAATATTTACAAAATATGCTCTACGTGTTGGTCACCTGTTTGTGTTTTTTTTTTTTTAACCTATTTTAATTCTCTGTATGTCCCTTGTTAACTATTTTTCTTACTTATCCATCTTCTCCAAAACAGAACATAAACTCCAGCTCCAGTGGGAGTTTTTCTGACTTGTTCACTGAAGGATCTCTGGATTTAGAACCTGGTCCTAGTGCCTGGCACATAATACATGCTTAATTTTAGTTTTAAGATGTCTTTTGGTGAAGTTGTTTATGCATGTATATCTTATGATTCTCTTTTTTTTAAATACATCTTTTCTGTGATGTTTAAAATTCTGTTACAGCAAAGAAATAGAAGGAACCAGTTACCACAAATCATTGTACAGTGCTCTACAGTCTTTAAGAGACAGAGAATTCTCCACATTTTATGAAAGTCTCAAATATGCCAGGTATTATAAAAAGATAAAGTTATTATATTTTAACATTTGATGTCATGGCTTCTCTTTTCAAAATTTGAGCAATAATTTCAGTGTAAAGACTTGTGTTGATGAAGGGATGAAGAATTGGTTGCTGTGATCAGGCATCTCCTGGCTATTCTCTGCCCTTCCTCAAAAAGAATCTCTTTGGGATCCCAGGTCAGAAGTTTTTACCGTGGCTCGGCACCTGTGGCTCAAGCGGCTAAGGTGCTAGCCACATACACCTAAGGTGGCGGGTTCGAATCCAGCCCGGGCCCGCCAAACAACAATGACGGCTGCAACGAAAAATTGCCGGGTGTTGTGGCAGGCGCCTGTGGTCCCAGCTACTTGGGAGGCAGAGGCAGGAGACTTGCTTGAGCCCAGGAGTTGGAGGTTGCTGTGAGCAGTGAAGCCACGGCACTCTACCCAGGGGGATAGCTTGAGGCTCTGTCTCAAAAAAAAAAAGTTTTTACCGTGAGACTTGGAGAAAGTTTTGGTGGTTCCCATTCCTTTGTTCAGTTCCAGTACAGATGTCCTGAGAGTTATATTGGTGTCTTTTAGTAGTTGTACGTGTATGGAATTTACCTCCCTTAGCATTAGTGTTCTAATTTTTAAAACTGTAAATGATAGTTAATACTTACAGGGTTGTTTTGAGGTGCCAATGAGATAAGACGTGAAATACTCAACTATGGCAGGCTAAACAAATGTATAGCATGTTTTTTGCTGAACACTAGTGACCTAATGAATCCTGTATTCATTACACAAATAATATTTGCTACTATTTCTTAATAGCTTTCTCTTAGCTTATTAAGTGCTAGCTACTGGCAGGCTCTCTCCATATATATTCTCTAAACATCAGAATCATTCTGGGTATGAGAAGACTGAGGCTTAGAGAAATACAGTAATATGCCCAAATTTATGCAATCATAAGTGGCAGAACTAGAGTTTGGGTCTACGTTTGTATAATTCCAAGATTTACAGTTGACACTTGAACCTCTCTGGGAGTTTAGGAATGCTAACTCCCTCCTCCCCAGAGAGTTGAAAATCTGAGCAAATAACGTTCTGCTCCCCAAAGGCTAGCCTGATTGTCTGCTATTGACCAAAGCCTTACCAATAACAAAAACACTTAATCGGCACGTATTTTTTGTTATATGTATCAAATACTGTATTCTTATAGTAAAGTAAGCTAGAGAAAAAAATATTAAAAATCATAAGGAAGATAAAATGTACTCATTAAATGGAAATAAGTCCCCATCCTCATTGGCTTCATGTTGAATAGGCAGAGAAGGAGAAAAAAGAGAAGTTTTCTTGCTGTCACAGGGGTGGCAGAGCTGCAGGAAAATCCAAGTGTGAGTAGACCATATGGTTCAAATCTGTGTTCCAGGGTCAACTGTATTTTGTATGCACTGCTATTTCATAGTTACTGTTGCTTATGAATATTAGTACTGCTAGACCAATAGCTAAGCCTGTGATAAGAATGCTGTAACAGCAAATTGAACTTTTATCTGCTTGAAGACCTTTTCTTTTCAAAGTACTCTTCTTTTTTGCTACTAGAGTAAAAGAAGTAGAAGAGCTGTGTAAGGGCAGCCTTGAGTCTGTGTATTCACTGTACCCCACACTTAGCAGACTGCAGGCCATCGGAGAGCTGGAAAACATTGGGGAACTTTTCTCAAGGTATGTATTGCATATGATCTTGTAATCCTAAAATGCAACCTTTCCATTTTTTATTTATGAAAATAAATTTTATAGCCACCTTCATTAAAATCTATACAGATACTGGATATAGATATGTTTCTTTCCTTAAATCAGGATAAAAGTTGACTAACCTAGTTTACTATGCTTTTATTTTAAAATTTGAGCATTTTTTTAAAATATTCATTATAAAAACTCAGATTTAAAAAATTCAGCTTACTTGTGTTTTCCTCTTTATAACTTTTACCCCATTCTACCCATGGGGAATTGTTTCCTCAGGTTTTCCTTAGCCTGTTACATTCCATTCTGTTTCAGCATTACATTGCATTACTGACCTTTTATGTATACTCTGCCATGTTTTTTACCAGTAACCCTGGAAAGAAATGTCAGTTTGCAGTAGATGTTCAGAGGAGATTGCTTCTTGGAATGATGAGAAGGAAGTGATCCAGGAATGTTGGAAAAATGAGATAGTGGTGTTATTCAGGATCACACGCTGTATCCAGCTCACCACCTCCTCACTGTGTGACCTGAGCTGCGACTCTGGGCAAGGTTCCTGTGCCAGGTTTGGCTGGGTTCTTTTTCCCCAGTCATACAAGGAGAGCTCACCTGAACGATCCTTCTGGTCTGCCATCTTGCTCCACCCCCATTTTCTTCATTTCTAAAGTGAAGGTTTTAGAGGTCTCTAAAGCCTCCTTTAGCTCTGCCATTCTTAGTTATATTATTAGTGTAAGAGGGAGGAAAGAAGGTGTAAATTCTAAGACCCCCATACCTTTATGCAAAAATAAAACTTGGAATATATTTTGGAAGTAGAAAGAAGGAAATTTTAAAGTCAGAAAATAATAATGGTCTTCTCAAAATTAACTTATCAGAAAATGTAAACATAAATGTGGCTTTTCTCAGGGAGAGAATAAAGAGACAATACTGGTTTCCGTTTTCATTGATAAGTACACTGGTTGTCTTACTGCCAGAAATCCAAGAACTTTTCCTCTGAATGAAAGATTTCTTCCACTAAAAAGAAGATTCAGTTTGTTAAAAAATACAGGCTGTCCCTGAGTTACAAACATCTGACTGCTACACAACTTGCACTTACAAATGGAGGTCATTACCGTTGATGGGTAAATGTGTCTGTTCTGACTTACATACAAATTAAACTTAAGAACAAACCTACAGAACCTATCTTGTTGATAACCTGGGGATTGCCTGTAATAAATAGGCTGATGGTTACCAGAGGATGGGAAGGGTAGTGGGGTGGGGTGGAGATTGAAGAAAGATTGGTTAATAGGTACAAAAATATAGTTAAGTAGAAGGTATAAGATCTAGTGTTTAGTAATGCAATAAGGGCAATTATAGTTAACAGTAATTTATTGTGTGCTTATATATATATTTTTTCTTTTTTTTTTAAAGATAGTCTGACTCTGTCAACCTTGGTAGAGTGCCATGGCATCATAGCTCACAGCAACCTCAAACTCTAGGGCTTAAGTGATTGTCTTGCCTCATTTTCCCAAGTAGCTGGGACTACAGGCGTCCACCACAATGCCTGGCTATTTTTTGGTTGCAGTTGTCATTGTTATTTAGCCCTGGGCTGGGTTCAAACCCGCCAGCCTGGGTGTATGTGGTTGGTGCCATAACCACAGTGCTACAGGCCCCAAGCCATTTATTGTGTATTTCAGTAAATGATAAATGTTCAAGGTGGTGGATATCCCAAATACTCAGATTTGATCATTGCACATTGCATTACTTATATCAGAATATCACATGTGCCTCTTATAAGTACAACTATTATGTATTTATAAAAATTAAAAATAAGTTAATTAAAAAAAACTCCTAAGACAGATTAATGCCAGCTCTTTCTTTGGTAGAGAAATAAGAAGAGGAGAGGCAAAGGGAAAGTTTGATGAATTGAATAACAAATGTTTATGCTCTAGGTCTAGGTCTAGATTTTATTCATATACTTCAACTAGAACATTGTATCACATCAAGATAAATGCAGAAGCAAAAATGAGAATTCTGCTAGCTCTGTTAAGCCAGACAATTACAGAGATTTGCAAAAATGCAAAACAGTGCCATTCTCCTTAAATTTTGTTTTGTTTTAGAAAGTATACTGTTGACCCTGCATACCCATGGGTTTTGCACCCATGGATTTAACCAACTGGGCATCAAAAATAAATAAGTAAAAAAATACAGCGTAGCATCTATTTACATAGCTTTTATATTATATTAGGTATTGTATAAATCAGGGGTCCTCAAAGTTTTTAAACAGGGGGTCAGTTCACTGTCCCTCAGACCATTGGAGGGCCAGACTACAGGCCCTGTGGCGAGTCAGCTGCTAAGCAAGACAGGCAGCAGTGGCAAAAACACCCAGTGGGCGGGATAAATGTCCTAGGTGGGCCGCATGTGGCCTGCGGGCTGCAGTTTGAGGATGCCTGGTAGACAGTGGGCACAGGAATATGGTAAATATCAATAGATAGGATCCAAAAAGTGTACACTCTTTGAGGTCTTCAGTAATTTGTAAGAATATAAAAGGGTTCTCTTAACTAAAAAATTTGAAACTTGCTGCTCTAGGGTTACTTAGGGAGGACTTAAAGTTTTGGCACCTGTGAATTTGTGTTACTGTTCACTTCCGTGTCAGGAAACTAGAAGAGCTTTCCATTTCTTAGTCATCGCCTCGTCATCTTCTTAGTCTCCCAGCACCATCTTTTTTATTTCTCATAACACAGTAGTCCTGAAGGATTGGACTGTATTGTATAGTTATATTATGTGGAAAACATACCGTTCACATGAACTAATTGCACAATATGCATTTTCTTTTCCTGTAGTTGGTACATGAAACCTTTACCAGATTATTTACCGATAATGTTGGTAAATGAAACTTTTCCCAGATGTTAGCTTTTCTTCACTAGATTGTGATTTCTTTGACTATTGCAGTTATTCAAAGAGAGTCATCCTCAGTAGATAATTAGTGAGTTTACTTCATTTCCTTGCTGACATGTCCTCGTTCACAAGGAGCAGTAGAGCAGGACTAGAGGTGTAGGCATTCTTGATGATAGGTCTGATGAATACGTTCTAATTTCAGCAAACTATTTAAAAGGGCTGCTCTTTGTGATGTCAGAGGGTATTTTTAAGAAAATTTAAAAATGTTTTAATCATCTGTAGCCTACCTGCTTATCTCTTAGAGGTCTGACCACATTGTATTTTCTAGTTTTTTAAACTTGGGTCCATGTTTAGGACTGTTTACAAGTTCTAATCTTGTTACTACAAAAATTCTTTTGTATTATATCTTCAACTGTAGAACCCACGTGATATATTTTTTTATTTCTCTTGCTTACATGAACTCTTGTGATTTGGTTTTCAGGTCTGTCACAGGTAGACAACTCTCTGAAGTATACATTAAGTGGCGGAAACACTCCCAGCTTCTCAAGGACAGTGATTTTAGTTTTCAGGAGCCTATCATGGCTCTACGCACAGTTATTTTGGAGATTTTGATTGAAAAGGAAATGGAGAACTCCCAAAAAGAATGTTTTAAGGACATTCTCACCAAGCACCTTGTAGAGTTTTCTACATTGGCCCGAACTTTCAAGAACACACAGGTAAAATTGATTTAAGACTATGTTATCTCTCTTCTTGTTTCTTTTTATTTTTCAAAAGACAAAAAGCATAAGTGAAAAAAAAATGTCATTGAGAGACAGAGATTGCTATTAATGGTATATCGTAAGAATAATGATTTAAGATTCCTCATTTTGGAATTAGACTTGAGTTTAAGACTTAGGCAAGTTGGATGGGGCACCGGGGCTACCACCTGTAATCCGAGTACTCTGGGAGGTTGAGGTGGGTGGATTGCCTGAGCTCAGGAGTTCAAGACCAGCCTGAGCAAGACCAAGACCCCATCTCTAAAAATAGCAGGGCATTGTGATGCATGTCTATAGTCCCAACTACTTGGGAGGCTGAGGCAAGAGAATCACTTGAGCCCAAGATTTTGATGTTGCTGTGAGCTATGACATCACGGCACTCTACCCAGGGTAACAGAGTGAGACTCTGTTCCCCCCAAAAAAGAAAAGAAATGAAAGATGTAGGCAAGTTACTTAATGTTTTCTCAACCTCAGTTTACTAGTTATAGAATGAGAAGATACTGAACTTCCTATATTGATGACAATTCAATGATTATATACACTGTGTACATAGACACAGAATATACATGTACCTGTCTGTATACAAGGTGTCTGCAAAGTTTGTGTGCAATTTTAAAATAGTTGGCTATTTAAATTGCACACGAACTTTATGGACACTATATATATATAGAGAGAGAGAGAGAGAGACAGATACGAAATGGGAGGCTGGAAGATAGGCAGAGAGGTACTTAAGATAGTCATTAACAAATAGTTAAGTCCTTAGTGAATGGTAATTGCTGCTGCTGTTATTATTGTTAATGATCATAGTAGTAATAGTAAAAGTACTTATTCCTATATGTCATTTTTATTTCAGCTTCCTGAAAGGGCAATATTTCAAATTAAACAGTATAATTCAGCTAGTTGTGGAGTTTCTGAGTGGCAGCTGGAAGAAGCACAAGTATTCTGGGCAAAAAAGGAGCAGAGTCTTGCCCTGAGTATTCTCAAACAGATGATCAGGAAGTTGGATGTCAGCTGTACAGAGGTTTATTTTTCTTTGTGAATTAGTATTTTATTGTAATTAAAAAAGAAAAAACTATGCTTTAAAATACTCTTTATTTCTGGTTAATATGAGGGAATATATAAGTCTATCACATTGCTTGTATTCATAAGGCAAAGTCTTAAGTGTGCCATAGCTTTAAAATATTTTTAATAATTATTTTAAAGCCTTGAAATTACTAAACCATAAATAAGATGTTGTAAAAGGAGTC